TGGCTTTTACCTATTGTAATAATTCCATTATCTTTGTAATCTCAGCTCTGTCTGTCTCTTTTATATTCTTAATATTGTTTATTTGGCTGCTCTCTTTTTCCATTAGTAGTAGTTCCAGAAGTTTTGAAATTGTACTAGTCTTGTCAAAGATCCTACTTCAGTCTTATTATTCTGAGTGGGCCAGAAGGTAAGAGAGGGAGAGAGGAGTAATACTGAGGCTTATTCTTTAATTCTATAAGTACCATTATTATTCCTTTCCTTCAACTTTTTGTGAGATCTTTTGGTAATTCTATTGTTCCTAGTCTTTAAGCCGCACAGTTAATGAATGAATATTCTTCTTTTTTATGTTACCCATTTAAAGTAATAAGTATTTCTCTAATAATGACTTTCCCAAGCTATAATATGCATTATAAACATGACTCATTTCTCTTTAGTTTTATTTGTATTAATTTCTTTGACCAATGAGTTAATTAGGGCCGTGTTTTAAACATTTTAGATGTATGGACTTTCTAATTATATTTTTGTGGTTAACTTCAAACTTAATTGCATTGTAGGAAGAGAATGTAGTCTATCGGATACTGACACTTCGGTATGTGTTGAAAACTGTATAATTACTTAGTACATTTTCAGTTTTCTAATATTCTCTGAGCTTGAAGACCATATGCATTCCCCAGCTTTTGGATCTGACTTTATCTAAATCCATAAGATCAAGCTTATTAATTCTGCAGTTCAAATCTGCAGCATCCTTCCAGATTCTGTGCTTCATCTCCCAGGGTTCATCTCAAACAGGTTTCATTAAATGAGAGTTTATCAATTTATTCATGTGGTCATATGCATTTTTTGTATATAGTTTTTAGTTTATGTAAATTTAGAATTGAATTATGTAAGTCTTTTGGCAATATTCAGTGCCTACCTTTAAGGCTTTTATTTTTCCTGGAAATCTATTTGACTTGGCATTAGTGTGGATTAGAAAACAGCTTTTAAAAAATTAATTATGTCTCTATTATGCCTTGTCATTCAATTGCCTTCAAAGTCTCTGTATTCCTATAGTTTCAAGTACTGTTTGAAAACATCAGAAGACTGGAACTTAGTTTTTACATGACACAGTAGTTTCTTATACCATCCCTGGTTTCACTTTAATTGATTTCAGGTGTCTGTGATCAAGCATGACTGCAATTATAACTATTGCGCAATGAAAGGTAAGATTTTGTGAGACCGAGTTGAAATAAAGTGTGGCTATTAATTGTCATATGTCAACGTGACCAGATAGGAAGTGTTGAAGCACAGATCTGGGTGTGTCTGGGGATGGTTGATGTAGAGGCCAGAAAACTGCGCGTGGAAGCCCCACCTCAGATGTGGCTGGCACCAACCAACAGGCAGGAAGCCTGGATGGAACGAGAAAGAAGGAAATGAGCCAGCTTTAAAGTGTTGGGGGGGTCTTCTCGAGTTTGCTACCACCGCCTTTGGCAATGGAGTCCAAGTCTCCAGTTTTTCAGCCTGGAAACATAGATTCCCACTGACAACTCTCCGCCGAACTTCCATGCCTTTGACTCTGGATGGACGTTGCCTCCTTCGTTTCTCTTATCCTCCCATTTCTGTCTTCTTCTCCAACTGGGCAGCTTTTGATGTTCTGGCTCTCCGGTGTGCGGATGGCCATCGTGGACTCTGCTTCTGATCCTAAAAGCTACCTACTACATACCCTTCATAACAGTGCGTACATTTTCCATTGATTCTCTTTCCCTAGAGAATCTTCACTGATGCATAGAAAAGAAATTAAATCATATCCACTAACTTTTTTAGAATGTACTATTTTAGAATAGAACTATTGTTCTATTTTATTACTCTTGGTTGTTATTCTCTTACTGTGCCTAATTTATAAGCTAACCTTTATCACAATCATGTATGTACAGGTAAAAACATACATAGTACAGTATACATAGAGACCAGTGCTATCTGCAGTTTCAGCTGGCCTTGGAAGACATCCCCTGAAGACAAGGTAGGGATACTGTAATGTTCCAGTCTTTCCTCCGTATTCACGCAGCCAGCTTGCTGTCCCAGAAGGCTGACCTACACGGGCCATACAACAGGTCCTCTCACACTTCCCTTCTGCTATTACTTTCCCTCTGGAAGTCCATTCTGAAGTTTCTTAAGAGATTCTATCATTAGCCACCTTTTTCATGCTTTGTTCACTTGGAAATAATTTCTTTTATAATGGTTATGTTTCTTAGCTGCCTTGGGACTTGGGCTACCTATTTCTTTCTCCTCTGAGTTATCGGCTATGAGAGGTCCTGGAAATCATGCAGGGAAACCGCACAAGCAAGGGAGTGCAGGTGACCTCCTGGAGCTGCAGGAGGCCTCCCGTTGATCAGCAGTGAGAAATTGAAGCCTTCAGCCCTACAACCATTCGGAACTCAACTCTACAAATAACTACAGTGAACTTGGAAGCAGACCTTTCTGTAGTCGTGCTTTGTATGAGGCTACAACAACATCCAACAGCTTAATTATGGCTTTGAAAAAGCTAAGTCAAGCTCAGACTCCTGGAGTACAGTAATAAACATGTGTTGGTTTAATGAGAATACTGCTAGAAAAAGAAAGCCAAGAGCTGCAGAGCTCCACGGCTCTTTCTCTCTTTTTTTTTTTTTTTTTTT